CCAAATTGTTTCCCCTGAGCCACGAAATTGCGTGTGTATAGCGCCACCTTGTGTACAGGAGGCAGAAGACCCAGTGTAGGACGAACTTTTCCCACTTTTGAGGCAGGTCCTACATGCAGTTTGGGTCACAAAACAATGGGAGAAACAATTATTACCGAATTCATGGACTTCAATCATGTTCGCACCTCTAGAACCACAAGTTTCAAAGAAAAAGACGTGGTTTATTGACAGTTAAGTGTCTACTAAGCAATGGGACAGAAACATCCTTTAGTCAGGGCTCAGGCACAGTTATGGGTCTCTGGAGCTCACACACGTGATCAAACCTAAGTAAAACGCTTTTTGGTTTTATAATACAATATCTTCTCAAACAAATCTTTTCCTACAGACTTATGCTGTGGAATTTGGTTCCTATTTCCTGTGGAAAACATTCCTTGGGGAACTAAGTTAAGACATAGAGCGGACATTAATGAGAATACTTAGGTTCTGGACACAGAGTGATGAAACTGTGTCCAGAGTCTGTGTCGCTAGTTTGACTTCTCGTACCACTGTGGACGATCCTACGGCTAACTCCTGCTGTGAGGCAAACAGCGCTGCATACAACACTGGAGTACACAACACTGTTGGCAGAGGCTTCACAGCCATATGGAGGAGCAGCCAAGTCAGATGGCCGTGGAACCTGGAAAACTTCTCCGCATGTATGAGGTCAAACAGTGGACAGATTCAACACCGACTTCCTCTCTTTTAGCTATAGGCAGAGAGAACTTTTAAAGGAGGTGTGCACCATCGTGCAGTCTCCTCACATTCAGAAGAGGCAACAGGAAGTGGACCTACACTCTTGGATTGGTTCTACATTCTTGGATTGACACTTCCTGCTTGGAATTTTATGGCCAGGTGGATCTCAACAGGGCTACTACATTTAATAAGAAAATACATGAGCATCCAGAGTATCTCCCCACTTTCTGCAGGAGGGATGTGTCAGTGGCTCTAGGGGGGGTCTATTTCTCAGGATCAGCTCATAAAGTCAGGGGTGCAGGAGTGTTTGAGGAATCCTAATGGGACAGTCCAGTGCTTTCCATTCGCTGGGTCTTTTTCATCCTTCCTCTTTGCATCACATTCCAGCTGTTCTTACTTTTTCCCAGAGAGCTTTTTTGTGTTCCAATCCCTTACACAAGCTCCTTGGCAACAATCACAAAAATTTAAGAGGACTCAACTCTCACTCGGACCTGCCTCAAACCAGGTGCACCTACCAGGCCGATGGATCCAGTTCGCATCCTGCAGAACTGCAAACAGCCTGTCCAGAGCCAGATCCTCACACTACTGAAGCGCCAGCCTCTGTTTATTTTCTTGCTATGGCTCACAGTCCCCCAGATTGCCAGCTGTTCTGCCCAGCCAAACTCTGACCCTTTTCTCCCTCTGCAGCCAGATGTGCTCAATCTGTGGGCTATAAGCGTCTCATCAATTCTGGCTCCCTTCATTTTTGCTGTAAGATCTGCTGACATCATGTCCTGAAGTTCTTCCTGGTTGAACGACTGTATAAATCACTGTCATGTTGAACATGTGACATGCTAATGCACTGAGCTTGTGCCTCCCGTTTATATGTGGAAGCTCCCACCCCAGCACCTCAGAACATGAGACAGATTTTTGAGGTAACCAAGTTCATGAGAGGTCACTAAGTCACTAGGGTAGGCTCTGATTCAGTATGACTGGGTCCTCTTAAAATAAGGAAATGAGGACACAGACAGAGGGACAACCATGTGAGCACACAGGGAGGAGATGGCCATCTGCAAGCCAAGAAGACTTCAGAAGGCTCCATCCCTGCTGAGTTGATCATGGAATTGCAGTCTGTCGATGGCCTTTGAACACAAACTGCAACATCAACCCTTCCAAAATTCACACGTGGCAGCTTCCACAATTACACGAGCCAACTTTTTAGCACTCTCTATAGATATTTATGCTCTTAGGTCAGTTTCTTTAGAAAATCCTAATACATACTCCAAATTACAATCTATGGTTGCTTGTTTTAAATGCCAAATACAGTGCCAGATCCTTAGGCCGGCATTCAAGGTCCCTCACGATCCACATGTAGCTTGCATCACTCTTTCAACTACCTTGGTTGAGCACGTTAGCAGTAACGCTTACTGAAAAACAAGGAATATTTAACATTCTTTTCTGTGCTTATTTCAGCACCATTTCATTTTATTCTTAGGGAATACCCCCACCCCCATATTAACCACTGCTAGTTAACATAATGCTTTAGTTTTAAATAAGCATACACTTATTTTTATACCTTTTAATTTTTTTCTGAGGTACTACCTGGACTTTAGATGCCACCTGCAAAGTGCACACATAGCTGTGTGATCCCTATTTGTGTACAGTTACAACAGGTGTGACAGGGACACGGTGGTGACATGACACAGGCTGGGTCTTGAAAATGCATGAACTCCTCCTCACATACCTAACGGACTAGGAATCCTACTGGGTGCCTTACAAGTCTCATCACAGAGAATTTCAGGAAGTGTCTGAGCCAACTAAGAAGGTCACTGATAGTTGGCAGATGCACCACAGATGTTAAATTTCATTCGCACTTACATGGTGGGGTGATGCTATAGGTTTTCATGCAATCCTACCATCTCTATCCCAGCTCAGCAACATTTTGGGCGGTGTTTGAAATTCTTCCAATTTGAATAGGTTAACAAGGAAGATGTTTCATTACTCACCTTCCTAAAGCATCAGTGGAGATTTAGTTCTTCCTTACTCTGCTCTGCAAAGGTAGTCTTCAAAAAAACCCAGTGGCCAAATTCTCACCATAAAACACAACTTTTCAGTGCTCATGTAAACCAAACATTTTAAATAAAATACTTCCTTATAGTTTTTATTGCAATCTTCAATCCTGCAACTCAGTGTCCTTCAATTCAATGAATCTAGCAGGGTAACTACCTGACATATTAGGTACTACTCATCTTTATTAACACGTATTTCCTTATGGAATATAAAATAACCATTAGAGATCAGTGTCACAATCATCAAGAGTAGATCAAAGCCATGGAGCAAACAGACCAGCTATTAAAAATTTTATTAAAAAAATAGACAATGTATGTAAACATCGCTTTCACAGACTTCATAACAGAGCATACCAGGCCCATGCCTCCCCGGTTTCTGCAGGGAAGCACCTCAGTTATTCAGGAAGAGCAATCGGCTTCACTGATCTTCCGGTGAGCTATTAAGTCATATGAAAATAGATTCTGCCAAGTGGGCTAACACAGAGAAAAAAACTGCAAATGTACAAGTATCACAGCAATGATTATCTGTAGTACCAGGTGAGAGTGAATCTCCTTACTGCAATTACCTAAGTAACAAAGCTTTATTTCTAACCTCATCATAAATGTAAGAGCTGATTTGGAGCTAGGACAGACCACAGAGGGACAGAATAGATGGACACCATGTCCACTCACACCTAAGTGTCTCCTACAGCCAAACTTCACATACACATGTAAGAACACCCCACTCCCACCTCACACACACACACACACACACACACACACACACACGGGAGATCCTGGCAGGAGCAGAACTGAGAACAGACTCCACACCGTCTCTCATGCACAATTATTTAGGGCATGAATCGACTATTTTTAGCTGGAAGCTACACCCTCCAAATTACTGTGTATTAAGCAGCCAGCCGGATGTCAAATATGACGAAGTTTTGAGGAAACCAAATCATTATTATATTATTTAATAACAACTCACAAGTGAAGCCAAATTATAGAAGAGACAATAGCACTACAAAATGTGGTAAGTACCAAGACTTACTGCAAGAATCTAAAATGCAGGGCTGCTTCCTTATGGCCCCTGTGCTGAGTGCCATTCTTCCAGGCCTAGGGACACTTCTGTGTGGTGACCAAATGATCATCACACCTGATTCAATTTACCTTAAGTTTCTGCAACGGCAATTGAGCAAACCTTAACCAAGCTACAATTTTAAATGAAATAGCAAAAATGTCTGTAATTTAGCTCTTCATTGCATGGAAATTTTAAAGTATTTATTGTCTGCATTTGGTACAACCATAACCTAGTGACAGAAGAGAAACACAACAGATAAGAAACCCAGGCAAAACCCTCAAGCTCTTGTAGTATATTTTCCATCCCAGTACTCCAGCAGTCTATTTGTACGATTATAAAAGTCATCCACAAATACCTTTAACTCACTTAAAATCCTGATCTGATATTCCAAGACACATTGTACAAACTCAATTCTGGAAATAATCTATACTAGTCATTTCCACCATAATTGTGTATTACAATAGATGTCTAACATCCTCAATTAAATGAAATGTAAAGCAATGACAAAAAGAATTCAAAGTTGAACAATTGTAATCCTTTGAGTTGGCAGTGTTCATCTTTGGATTAGAGTGATTGTGTATGCAAGTAGAGAAAAGTAAAATTATATGACATGAATGTTTATAATACAAGAGATCTGTGAGCACAGGCTTGTGTAACTTAATCATACATCAGATTCCAGTAGACTAAAGAATTTATCAGAGAATGAAGAAGTTTTGGAATTGACACCAAGTCAACAAAGGCTCCCTCGGGGGCAGCAGTCCTGACCATGAATCGCTGATCTCTAGCACCTCTTGTAGAGTTCTAATGGACAAAGTGTTTAGCAGTTAGTCAGCAAAACTTTCCTAAGTTACATTCAGTAAAGCTTCTCAAAGTGAAATGTTGTATAATTGAGAAGAGACTTGGACATATTTATGCATCAGAAGTCTACAGTACAGTTTTAGTTTAAATAGGACTCTAAATCTGTTCTAATCAACAGATTTTTTTTTTATAAATAGGTATGTTTTCTTATATCACATTATCATTACCAAGACACCAATAGTTATTTTTTGGCATTCTTTTGTACAAATTAAAAAAAAAAAGACGAGCTGAAGGAAAGAAAAAAGGGAGGAAGGGCCGAGGATTTAGCTCAGCAGTTCCGCCTCCTGCCTTACAAGTGCAAGGACCTGAGTTTGATCCCTGGTACCAAAAAAAGAAAAAAAAAGGAGGAAGGAAGGAAGGCAGCAAAGACAAGTGTCATCAGAACCCCACTATGTGCTCATGGGGGGATATGAAAACTAACAAGCCCTTAAGACAGTACTTAAAAGAAGGGAACTGAAATGTGTTCTGTACCTGTACCAGTCCTCTACAGTGAACAGAATCACTATGCACAGAAAACATGTATGAACAGAAGCAAAAAAAAAGGACAATGCTTAAGGTGATTTCACCCAGCACAGTTCTGCCTGTGGCACATGTTTTGGTTTAAACTTCCGTGTATTTCAAATTACTAGGTAGGACCCAGAGCACATGATATATAGAAGCTGGACAGCAGTCATGCGTCCCTCTGGAGTTAGTGTCTGTTCCCAATGTAGTCACTGGGTGGCAGCTTTTCAACGTACAAGAAGAGAACACAGCTCAAGGCACAAAGTGTCTGCGTTTGTTCACCTGAAACAGAAATGCTTCAACAGCAAAGGCATTTAAGTCAGAAACTCCTTCTCCAGGGCACAGATGGACGGCCGCTGACCTGGGCTTTTCATCCTGCACAGAGGCCCTGTGCAGTCCTTGCTCTGCCCGTCAACATTGGCATCCAGTGAGGAAGGTGCCTGGGTACCCAGGACACAGGCGGGGCCTGACCCTGTGAGGCCACCACCACAGGCCGCCCGCGCAGGTTGGGACTGTGCCCTGCGTGGAACTGCCCTTGGCACATCTGATGGACTTCTCAGGGAGACAGTGCCAGGCTGCAGCAGGACCGTGACAGCCCCATGCAGGTCAGGAGAGACCTGGCTCAGCAGGGCACCGTGAGAGCCAGGTGAGGTGGAGTGTGGTAGTGCAGAGGCTCCGGGGACACCTGTGAGAAGAGAGTCACAAGACAACGTACAGTTAGAAGGACAATCACTTCTGAAACTATGAACCTCAGAAAGAAAACAAGTCAGATGGTCACTCAAGTGGATGAATACTTTAATAGTGGGCCTCACACTGGTCAGGATCTTACCTGTACCTCTCCTCTTGTTTGTACGAAGAGCTGACCCAGTAAGACAAAAAAAACAAAACCAAAACCAGAAACGCTGTGTATGAGAGTATTGTGCTATAGGATTTCTCCTTGTGCAATGACAAATGACCAATACTCTACTGACTAACAAAGGGGTAACAAACTAATTTATCTAACTACAGTGAATAATATAGTATTAGGAGATGAAGCAGAATAAACAATAATTAAAGAAATTTCAATTTTAATAAATCTTTATAACCAACTTCATCATATCATTTTCAATTTATGAGTAAAAGGCATTTTCATATATATATATATATATATATATATATGACCTCATTTAATGCTCATGAAAAGTGTATGAGATTATTGCGATTATCTTCACATATAAAAGAAATGTTAACCCTTATACAGAGTACCACCTGAGAGCAGAGTGCCCCTTGATTTTTGTCACAGTTCTACAAAGAGTAGAGATTAACTAAGCACATTATTAGTCATTTCAATATGATTATCACCCCAGGCCTACAGAGTACATGGAGACAGGATTGTAAGGGATTCGCTCAGCATCACACAGCAAACTTGAGCCCAGGCAGCTTCCCTGCTATTGACTGCAACCTCTCGATAACCTTAAAAGCATTCAGATGAGGGAGCAGGTTACATAACTGCTCAGGATTACCTGTCCACAGATGTACAGCTGAAACCTGGACCTTAGTCCTGTCGCTCCAAATCAACTGTTTCTCATGGGGAGCCATAGCACCTCTTCAAAGGTCAGACTAAAGAGCCATTAAAGTTCAGAAATATCACAGTGACCACCACCTTGCACACAACAGCAAGATCCAATCGCATGAATGCTCACTGAATTTTAGAAATGGAAAGAAGGCAGCTCCCCATAACAAAGAGGGAGATGTCAGGTACAAATCCTGACAGCACTGTTGCAGTGAGGTCCTGGATAAATCACTAGTTTTTCATGAGTTCTAATCATGCTTCTGCACCTAGGCATATATAGTGTATGTATAATCAGTCAGGCCTTCCTTAAAATGAAGAGACCATTTACATGAGAGTGGCCTTTTCATTTACAAAATGCTACCAGCAAGCTTACACTGCCTTTAAGCCTTGTTCAATGAACTAGAAAAACCTACTGGAAAATCTGACTTTTCTTTCAGAGCTTCCACACCTGAGCACAAACCTCACAGGAAGGTATAATGTGTTATGCATAGAAGTGTGATTCCTGCTGTCTCAGGCTGAACTGTGCCCCCTTGAACCTAAATACTGGATCCCTGATGCCTGGCACCTCAGAATTTAACTATCAGAAGGTGCAGGCCTCGAGAGATGTGATTAAATTAAAATAGTCAAGGCTGGGGATTTAGCTCAATGGTTCTGTTGCCTGCCTCACAAGCACAAGGTCCCAGGTTCGATCCCCGGTATCCCCCCCACAAAAAAAGTCACTGGGTGTCCCTAATCCGGTGTGACTGGGGTCCTTATGATAAGGGGACCAGGGAAGACACACATAGAGGATGGCCACATGAAGACACAGGGAGAGAGGCCTCACAGGAAACCAGCTCTACCTACAACTTGGCCTTGCACTTCCAGCCTCTAGGACTGTGAGAAAATACGGTTCTGTTGCTTAAACTCCTTTGTTCTGCCAAGGGTGGGGGCCAGTTGTTCTCCACATGCCCTTTCTCCCTACTGTGCTATTATGCAGCAAAATTGCTGACATTTAACGACACTTTTCCCAGAATCTGAGTTATAATTAATTTAAAATCAAAGGAAAGAGAAATATAAAACTCAGAGGTCCACGTGAACATCAATACATTATTAAATATAATTACTAGGGAAAGAGGAGCATTCAGCCAGGATCTGCAGTGGTGGTTTGTACCACGCCCCCAACCACCAACGTAACCTACGTGGAGTCAGAAAAGGATTTCCGTCCGACGAGGTCTGTCTGTGATGTGAGGCTCTGTCTTTTGGGGGACCATAATAAGGCACGTTCCCATCACGTGTCTGCCCCGAGCAGGAGGCAGGCAGGCTCTCCATCACTCTGCGATCAGTCTCCAGTCTTGGCCCCGGGGCCAGCTCCTGGGTGCTTTCTGGACAAGCCGGACACAAATCAGTGTCACGAGGAACCTGGGTGCTGCCCAGGGGTGGCTTGTCCCCATGTGTTTGTGGCAAGCACCTCGTGGAGAGAAGGCTTGTGGTGCTGCTGGGGTCCCTGCCTGCAGACAGCGGCATGGGGGATGGCCCGGGGGCCCCCTGGAGGACTCCCGCTTCAATCCGCACGTCCCCCTCAGGTGGCAGCTCTCCCGCAGGTTCTGCTCTGCCAAGCCCCCTGACGTCCAGTCCCAAGGCCACCGACGCCAGCAGCACTGCACACCCATACAGGGCAGACTCCGTTTTCTTCCTGTGGGGTCCACTGAGATTGGTCACAGGCACCCCCCGAGCGGGGCCCAGAGCAGAGCTTCCTGTGGGTCCCTCTGCCCAGCCCTCAGCCTCCTCCAGGTTCTGACTCTGATCATCTTTGCAGAGAGGTAGATCAGTGTAGGCCTGACCAGGCAACTTCATTTGCTTTGGTTTTCTGTTTTCTCCATCAGCAGGGTGTTTTGGCTCTTCACCAGACCCTAAAGAAAGATATAAATTCAAACTCCGTGGTTTCATTTGATGGTTAAAAAATCACTTAAGTTATACTGTAAAATAAAACTAGAGTCTCATGAATATTCTAGTCAAAGCACAAGGAGTCCTTTCACTTTGGCAGATGTCTCATCAGAAGACTCCGAGGGATCAGTCTCCAGGACCCTACAACTCAGTTCCCCACAGACAAGCCCACAAGGAAATGAGATGTTTCCTACTCTTCAGGAAACTGTTCCTTGCCAGCATCACTAACAGAAATGATTGTGGGAATAAAGTCATCACTGTACAAAAATGCACGCGTGCGCGCACACACACGCACACACACACACACACACACAGACATACAAGCACTATGTCACTCAGAAGAAATCCAAGAAATATCATATTTTGCTAAAACATTTTGAACTTATCACAGCATCAAATGACCATCTTAAACTGTCCAGTATAAAGAACAGTTGTTTTTCTTTGTTAATAAACATCTCTTTAAACTCAGGCCACCAGGACTGGGGATTAAGCTCAGTGGCACCACACTGCCTCACAAGCACAAGGTCCTGAGTTTGATTCCCAATACCAAAAAAAAACAACTTCAGGCCACAAAATAGTAATATTACAAGAGCCCCACCTCATCTCAGAAGGATGCTCAAGGAGTGTTCCCACATTGGCCATCTTGTGTACTAAATAAACTAAATAAGTAAGTGTGATATTATCTTTCTTGTCAAAAATCAGAAATTATAAGAACAGGGATTTAGCTCAGTGGTTCTGCTGCCTGCCTCACAAGTGCAAGGACCCAAATTCGATCCCCGGTAGCAAACAAACAAACAAACAAACAAAAAACCCCAAAAAAAGATCATCAGAATTTATAAAAAATCAGGATGGCAGGGACAAGGGGAAAAACTGAGAACCAAGACCTGTCATGTAAAGGTACAAGATCTCAATAATGAATGTAACTGTACTGTTTCAGAGAATTTATAAAAAATCAGGATGGCAGGGACAAGGGGAAAAACTGAGAACCAAGACCTGTCATGTAAAGGTACAAGATCTCAATAATGAATGTAACTGTACTGTATACCTAAAATGTACCAATAATTTTAAAAAAAGAAAAAAAAACAAAAACAAATAGTTACTACAATTTTAAAAACTACACAATGGAAAAAATGTTAATAAACACAAAGATCCAAAAAAATCAAAAATTACAAATTTAAAAAAGACCACATAGAGCCTAATCACTTTCTGCTGATAGAGACTGAATGGAAAACAATTCTGGGGCTTAATCGGAGCTATCAGGAGCCCTCTGGCCAGTCACCCTTCTTTCTGCTCCTTTAAGGACCACTGGAGACCATGACATCAGAGCCTGGAGAACACAGATGTGAAGTCTAACACGAGCACAGTCTGTATCCCGATGCATTTACCTGGCTGGTCTACAAAGAGGGAAGCCAAAGGTGTGGTCTTCTGGCTTTTTATGAGGATAGATGACCAAGGACTGTTGCCGTCAGAGAGAGGCCTCACCCTAAGAGAAAGATGTTCATTGTCATAAAACAGAGCCACATGACATACAGACTAGGTTTTGGGGGACACAGGTCAACAATATTTTTAAAGGTGCAAGATAAAGACATTTGTACTCTTGAATTTGGAAGAGCTAATAAAGTACAACTAAAACCTTAAAACAAGACAACAAAATGCCAGAGAAACTGTTTACTTACTAAATAATCATTTAATACAGTTAGTACGATAAATTCATCCTAGGAAATTAAAGTGATATTCTGGTATCACTGTACTAATCTAGTTATTTTCTGAAAGTTAGGTCTGGCCAAAGTGACGGGAGCCGAGGTACCACATGGTCACAGCGGTCACCAGACACCCCTGGCCCTCACACGTACCTCTCTCTGCCATCGGTGCTTTCTTTCGTTTGAATTGAGCTTGGTCCCCATGTACAGCCTCTTTTCTTGAAATTCCTTTTTATATCTTCGAAATCTTCTTGCCGAAAGACCATGTTCCTTCCCCAGGTTTTATTGTTTTCGTCAGATGTCACTGGATAAAGACCACCACTGTCAGCCAACATCAGCACCATGAAAAAGGTGACGCAAGAGGGGGGTGGTTGAGTACACCTGTAATCCCCGTACTCTAAGAGGCTGAAGCAGGAGCGCTTTTAAGTTCAAGCCCAGCTTGAGCAACTTAGTGATTTAGCAAGAGCTTGTCTCAAATTCAAAGAGAAACAAAAAAAAAAAAGCAAGGGGGACTGATATGAAGCCATCCCCAAGCTTTGGTTCCAGGAGTCCACTCCCACTCCCGGCACCAACTGCACAGAATCTGAGGATCATAGGTGGCTGTGCACATAAGGAAAATGGCCTAAGGAACCTAAATTTTCTTTCCCAAACAGCTGAGGCACCTGTTAAATGTCACCTACTCATGTAAAACTTGCTGTAATAACATTTCTCTTCGTTTGAATCAAAGGCAAGAAAATGAGTGAAATCAAGAGAAGACAACTCACACTGAATGGCCCGGAGGCGAGGGAGCATGGTGGGGCTGCTGGGCGGGCTGGAGCTCCTGCTGTCCCAACTCCTGCGCCTGTCCAAGGTGGGGGAGGCCTGCACGGTGATCTTGTGCTGGAAGTCTGTTGGATACAGCAGAAGGGAGGGAGGACAGGTATGACATGATTTCATGTCATTCCATCCCCATGTGCCAGGCACTGAGCAATAAAAGCAAACACTACCAAAAGTAACCAGGAAATAGATTTCAGGGTCAGTTTCTCTGACTTTGGTTTCTTCTTTACCTTCGATTCAGGATTCAAGTCAAGAGACAGTATTTCAGAGGTTATCATTAGGTACAAAATCAGACACACATATGTGGAAATCTCCCCCATTTCATGCAGAAGCCAAAGTCTTTTGGGATCAGTTACCTGTATTCAGTCAGAGGCACTCACATGCAACACTGAACTAGGAGGCCCTGGATTTAAAGGAGTCTTGAGTCCATCAGTAAAAGACAATGGCTCAGAAGCTAGTAAGGAAGTGTTCTGAGCCTATCACACTCCTATTATGGGGAGCAACAATAGTGCACGGGGCTGTGGTAACAAGACAGAAAATGTAGCTTCAAGGTATTTTGTGGCCAGTGAACTCAATGAATGAGAGCTATGAAGTGTGATCAAATAATATGGTGAATGTTTACATGAAAAAAGTATTATAGTAAAAGACACTGCCACAGATCCCCTCAAAATACTCCCTCTTCCTTTGAACACTTATCCCATTATTCTTTTCACTTTCTGAAGCAGTTCTGGAAGTCCTCTTTCTTGAGTATCTTTCCCAGATGTTATTTTAAAACAACACAGTAAATGCTGCTGCTGAGTGCCATCCAACAGAAAGGCAAGCTTGTAAAACTATCACGGCCTGTCCTCATCCACCTTATTCATGGGATCTAACAGTGCTGATTCGAGCTCTTCCCCAAAGCCAAAGTGGTCATGCAACATAAATGTTTTGAGTTGATTCAGCACATCAAGGCATTGTAACAGTGCAGCTAAGAACACTCACGAAAGAGGACTTTTAGAACTGCTTCAGAAAGTGGCAAGAAGGATGGGAGGAGCGTGTTTGAAAAGAGGGGGAGAATTTTGGGGGGATTAATGGAAATGTGTCTTTACTGTGATAAATTTTTTAATTTAAATGTTTGCTGTATCGGTTAATCATATCTCATATACTGTGACCTAAATGGCACGTGGCAGAGATGAGCCATGACCATGCGAACATACGGAAGAGGGGACAGAAAAATTCATGGAAATTTGGACACGAGCAAAAGAATTCACCAGGTTTCCTTCAGTACAGTGCTGGGCTTCCAATGACAGATTTCCTATCAATTAGGCTATGTTTACAACTCAGTAGGGGCAAAGGTTAATTTGACGATTTTGTCTGGTAATGTAAATTATCTCTATCTGGTAAAAAAGACAATCCCATAAATAACGATTTACTGCTATATCAGGCATTAATGGGATGTGTTTTTAACCTTGCAATCTAATCCTGCTATTCCTTTAAGACTTAACTTCTTAAATGTTCACTGGAACCGGTTTTATCTGGTTATCTATCACTAGTTAATGAGTTGAGGAAAATCTTTGAGACATCATGTTTGCTTCTTGTTTCCAAGAGTTATAATTTACCTTTTTGGAAATTATACTTTAAAGACCTTTATTGCACCACGTAGTAGTTGAGATGAAGAGACAGAATTTGGTAGACATCTATGCAATAATTCATGCAAGAAATCTGAACAAAAACTTCTTTGATAAAAATCTTTTCCCTAGCCTTACATATCCATTAAACAAAATATTTTACAAATTCTGTGTTATACATTCTTCTTCTGGAAGAGTTGATATTCTGGATTGTAAGGCTAGCAAACTTGGATTTGAATCTTTTGAATTTACACTAGCCATGTGAATGTGGAAAACAATCTCAGTACATTTGCCCACAAAAATGGAAAAATCCTATTGTTCCTATTTTACAAAACTGCTATGAAAAATTAAACAAGGATCAAGGGTACTTGGCACAGGACTTAGGATATAATGAATAATCATAAATGCTAATATTGTCTGCATTCTCTTCATCCTCTCAGCCTTGGCTATCACAACACCCTACAGCCTGTCTCACATTCCCACAGCCCTTTCACATTTACCTTCAGCCCTCAAGTCCACCTTACAGTTGCCAGATGTACTTTCTGAAACGCAAGGCAGCCATGGCAATCACCTACCTAAAAACTTTCAAAAGCATCTTATGACACCTGTAATTCTAGCAGTCTCAGAGGCTGAGGCGGGAGGATCACCAAGTTTGAACCCAGCCTGGGCAATGTAACAATTTAGGGAGATGCTATCCTAAAATAAAAAATAAAAGTGGCTAGGGATTAGCTCAGAATAGTGGCCCTGAATTCAATCTCAGTACTGGGGGAAAAAAAAGCAGTGTCTCTCATGATTCCTATGTTACACATTAAAATGGAAACAAACCCTGCAGGCCCCCACAGGTTTGTGAGTCTGGGTCCTTCCTGCTGCTTTGGCCTTCTCTCATCGCGTCTGCCCCTCTCACACCATGCTGCACCTGGGTGAGCCCCTAGCACTCTATTTTAGGCTTCGTCACTCACTAGGCTCCTGCTGAAACTACCCAGCCCTGCAGAGCACCAAGAAAGCAGCCCAGATACACCAAAGAAAGCATTCCAGTAAGGCTTTATGGATACCGAAACTTCAAGTTTATACGCTATCAGGTGCAAGATGTGCTGCTTGTCTTTTTTTTTTTTTAAGCCTTCAAAGATATGCAGCCCACACTGAGCTCCGGGGCTGTGAAAAGCAGGCATGGCCTGGTTTAGACCTGTGGGATGCACTCTTAAGACTCTGGTTGAGCCACACTGGTCTCTTTCAATTCTTGCAAGTAACCAAGCTTCCTTTTCCTGTTTTCTTCCTTGTCTTCGTGTTTGGCATAGTCTTACTTATTAAGTCACAATTTAAATGTCACTTCTTTAAAACACTGACCATCATCTCCACTAACCTTATTATTTGTCCTACACAGTAGTTAATAATTACAGCAAGTCAGTAAGCACGTGTTTAATTATTAGCAGAGGCCTGACTTTCCCCCAATGCTGTGAAAGCTCTGTGGTGGAGACCCCCAGAGTGAGGCCCCGCTATGCTGCCCTCCAGATGGGGCGAGGGCCTTGCACGTAATAGATGATCTAAAAACCGTTCTTTGACTATTTTCTCTGTAAATAAGGCTAGTGCAGGGACTCTATTTATTTTATCATAACCCCTGATACTCGGTACAGGGCAGACCCTCAAGTGTTTGTTGAATGACAAAGTTATGTAAAGCTTATCAACCAGACCAAACTGGTACTTAAAGTTAACTGTATGACACACACAGCAGGTTGGAGGAGGTCTGGAGGACAAAGCAGATGGAAAAAAAAGGACCAGACAGGACTCCACCTCCCTCCACGTGTAGGGTTAGAACTTAGGAAATAATTGAGCAGGGCAGAGCCGTCTAAGCAAACGAAAGAATAGACACAGGAAAACAGTTCAGGAGGATGAGTGATTGGATTTGGTGGGTGGTAGTAAAAGGGAGAAACAGTCACACTCTGGGAAGAAACTACTTTGGATTGAAGGGATTTACAGAGGTTCAGGCAGCCCCTGAATTGTCTGTCACCACTAAGGAGCCAATTCGCTGTGAACCGAGGGGGGCCTGGGGTCACAGTGTTTAAGGACACATTGCAGGGGACACATGGTGGGACAAGAGACTACGGTAGGTAGAGACAAGAGCCCCAGTGAGCAGCAGGACAAGACTAGAGGTACCTTCACCACAGACACATTCTCAAAGCATCTGGAAACATCTGATACGAGTGCTTATAATACAAGCGTTCTTTACAGTTTCAAACACAACAGACCTTACTGTAAACATCCCTGTCCTTGGAGCAGGGTGAAGCAGAGTCTGTCCCAGTTATATATTTGGGGAAATGAACACTGAACTGTTCCCTCTGGATCCTCTAGGATGGGCGCTCAGAGTTCTGTTTACGGCCATTGCAAGGTCTGGGGAAGCACTGTGTGTCTGGATCAGTTACACTGAGCTCTCATTCGTACAGATCCTGTGGCCTCCATGGGAACAATCACTTCTCCATAAAAGCAGTGCTGTCTTCTAGAGAAAGCGCATGAGGTATCTGCTCTCTCCCTGTACACACATCCATCTAGTCACTAACACATACCACGCGGGTAACGTCCAGGGGTGGCCATCTGGGTGGGCTTTGGTGCCTTCTGAAGGGGTCGAATGCACCACCAGCTCCCACAGCGTCCAAAATATCTCTGCACTGCTTTTACATGTCCTAAAAACATAACTTCAAAATAAACACAGCACAGAGGGAGTGATTTAAGAGGTCACAGCATCCAAACCTGTCACCATACTTTTTTCTTTTACAGATTCTAATAAAAATATTAGGAATACTCACAAAGTCTAAGTTTAAGCTTTCAGTCCAAGATTATGCCCTGAGCACTAATCTGCCTCATTTGGTAACCAGGCACCATTTGCGTTTTCTAGCGGTAAGTTGTTATAGCCATCCTCGACAGTAAGATTAAAAACTAAAAATCATCAGTGACTGTGAGGAGACAAAATTACAAGTGAACCGAATTAGACACATCAAATAGTGTTGAAATACTTGAGGGCACAAACATTAAGGAATAGAGAAGCACTCTAAGCTAGTTCCACACAGAAGTGCACACTATGGGAAACCCTGCATGGAAAGCCAGCCTCTTCGATGTATCTTCTGGGATGATGTGCTATTAAACAGGCTACAATTTGATGACACAAGGAATTTTCTACCACATGGTTACAACTAACTCCCTTGAATAAAAGGCACACACAAAAAAAATCATTTTTTTTTTGTGCTATAGTATGCTTAGCCCTGTTCTGGGTACTATACAAGTAAGAGTGCGTGTGTGTGAGTATATATGTGCGTGCATGTACGTGTATGAATAAACTCGCGGTATGTGTGCCCACCTGTGCACGGGGCTGGAGGATTTCAAGATGAAAAGAGTTCCACATTAGTTCCAGGATTATAGCAATGCAGCGCCATCTTGTGGGATGGAGTGGCAACTGCCTTATTAAATTCCAGAAGGCGACTTAATTCTTTCACAACGGATGGTACTAACAGCAATACATTGGGGGGGGGTATGCTTTAATTGAAATATTTTATTAAGTGCCTCAAAGTAAATAAATATGTAACTAAAATATCACTTTTCTTTTCAGTAAAAGAAATGTTAAGTAGTACAACCAAGGAATAAAAGAAATCTGGCAAAAACAGTCAAGTATATTCAGTCATCTTTGAAAAAATTCAAGGTATCAGTCATGGAACATTTGAGAAGAAAAGAAAGTGAAAGTAGGATCCCAGGAACCCTAAGAAATTGTGTTTAGCCAGATGTGCTGGTGCACACCTGTAATCCCAGCACTGTAGGAGACAGAAGCAGGGGAAGCTCAAGTTCACGCTCAGCCCAAGAAACATAGCAAGACCTTAACTCAAATAAATAAAATAAAATAAAGGGCTCAGAATATGGCTCTGTGCAGACGCATTGGGTTCAATTCCTAGTATTGAAAAAAATTTTTTTAAATTTAACATCCCTATCGTTGACAAGAAAAGGACCACTGGGATGATAATTCAATTCTTTCTTCCAAATTTTATCTCCTTTCCCATCAGATGCTTATCACTCACTCCCCAGAGCTTCCTGAGGGAAACCATGAATATTAATTAGGATAATATAGTCACAATGCAGAGAGAAGGAAGGGTGGGAACTGGAGAAGGAAACCCACATCCAATCTTCCCCCAATTTTTCCATCACCCACGCTTGAGAGTAGAACTCATCTCACTGAAGATAAAATAGCCTAGTTTTTAACAATGGCTGACACACATAAGGCAGTCCTGGCAGCAGCCTTCCAAGCACCTGGTTTAAAGGTAAACCTGGGAAGAGAACCTGGAAAAACACCTGCTTTATTTCTTCTCCCCAGAGAGGTAGAAGGTAAGATGTAACCCCAGCCTAGTCTCACTTCATCAAATCAAATAACAGCATGTGAGATACACATACCGGAAACGTCTGATCTACTGAGAACATGCGATCACCTAAAAGGGCACAGGGTGCTGCGAGATCTCCGGGGGCTCTTCCGGGTAGTTTATACGTACTTCATGTAAAACACAACGGTCATAGCAGGGTGTGGTGGCGCACGCCTGTAATCCCAGCACTCGGGAGGCTGAGGCAGGAGGATCACTGTGAGTTCGAGACCAGCCTGGGCTACATAGTGAGTTCCAGGTCAGTCTCGACTACATAGTGAGACCCTGTCTCAAAAGACAAACAAACAAAAAAAACCCCAAAAAACAACGGTCATTACCGTTACTTAAATCAAGGGTCCACGCTGCTAATAATCATTTTAGGAAAACACCAGAATGAGTAAAAGCACTTATAGGTAGACACAAACACACACACACACACACACACACACACACACATATGATACATGTATAATGAATAAAGAGATAGGCACAGGTATTTAGCAGACATTCTATATTGTCACCACCCTTCCATGGCATTACAAAGAATCATAAAATACAGTGAGAGTATTTAGCTTTCCCTAAAAGCGGGTACAATGTTTGCTACATTCTACTCCATTTGGCTTCTCCTACTGTACTACTAAAGGGCTTGAATGTGCATATGTACTGAGGGGATTTAGCAATCCCTTTGTATTACTGTCAATTTTTAAAAGCACGTGTAAAGAGTTTCCCACAGTTACCCAGTTCACTAGCAGGAATGTAACTGCAGTACTGAACACACCGCGTTGAAGATGCTGTCCCGAAAAAGCTCAGAGACCACAGGATAACTACCTCCGATTCTTGCGAGCGCGGCAACTGTACCGACTACTGACGATGCACAAGGCCACATACCACTGGCCCTGCACAGCGGGCTTCAAGCTCAGAAGGAAGGAGATCTGAGAGAGCGCAGCGGGCACGGAGCCGCAGCACACAGGGAAACCCTTAGGCTGAGCGGGCCAGTTGACACATGTACTGCATTCTCTGTTGCAAAACCCAACTTCCCCAACTTTCCCGATTCAGTTGAAACAAACCTTAGTAAACGGGCGTCATGCAAAATCCTTACAAGACTGCAAACAGCTCATACCTGAAGGCAAGCTGATACGATGTGCGTCTTTGAGCTTCAGCCGGCTTCTCCGGAACTTGCCCTTCCTCTTCCTCACATGCGGCCCCTCCTGGTTGAGCTGGAAGATGAGGATGTTGAGCTCGCGCTCCAGCACGTCGATCTCGCGCTGGGCCAGCTGCTGCTCCCTGCGGCGGAGCAGCTCCTCCTGAGACTTCTGCTGCAGGGCAGCGCGGCTCAGCTCCTCTTCCCGGGACCGCAGCTCCTGCAACACAGTCACACTGGCAAGTTGTTCAGCAGCAGAATGGCACTTCAGGTCTTCTGCCCCACACCTGCGCCCTTGGCCACGGTGTTTTGGAGCACGGCCAGTAGGTGATGCCCCTGTCCTCCACTGGTCCCCTGCTAGCCCAGGTCCTCTCTGCACAGGGCAGCGACAGCCAAGAAATTCCCAACACCCCATTCGTCTAGAGGGAGCAGAGCCTCTGAACAGGCTCCCACCTGAGCAGGTTTTATTATCAGACAGAGGCTTCACGTTTTTTTAAAACCCGATTTTAACATTTCCCTCTCTGCATCTCTAGCCTTTATAATCATCTAACATGTAAAATATACATTAATACACAACACAGAAATGTATGAAATACTTTAAAATACAGCCCAAAGCTAAAGCTCAATTACTTAAAGGATGATTACTGCAGCTTAAAAGCCTGAGGTTCAGGCTTCTCCACTTCGGGACTTGCATAGGCATTTAGGAGTCTGCTTGCGGAATAAAACACCCTGGTGGAGAGTAAGGGAAAAGCACAGCTAATGTGCCAAGAGTGAGCTAAGGGACAATGAGACACAGCTTAACGTTAACTTAACTTCTTGGTTTTGGTTTTAGAAGTATGGACATTTAAGAAATAGGACATTTCTGAGTTCAAAAATACTTGAGAAAAAATATTCAATAGCAAAACAGAGAATTCTATCAAGTTTTAAACCCAAATCCCCCGTTGTATTTCATTTCTATAGTGTCCTCTTCTTTACCAGAGATGTCACTATCGCTCAGCGTGCTAACCTACTTTCTCTTCTAGATTGCCCTGCTCCAAAATCTAGCACTGAAACAACAATCAAGGCATCTGCAAGCTTTTTAAAAAATTTTTTTTTATTCATTTTTTTGCAGTACCAGGGATCGAACTCAGGACCTTGCGCTTGTGAGGCAGGTGGTGGCTCCACTTGCAAGCTTTTATTTATACTGCTCAGGCAAATGGAATCTTTGTGTACCTCAGACCACACTGAGTTGGTAACTGCAGATGTGCTTCAGGTGCAGCTCTGGGATGCGTGCTGTGGGAGCCCAGGCGGCTGGGCAAACACGTCCTATTCTGTATGACCAAGCAACACTTGAAACAGGTCCCCAAGGGTACCGGTCCACCCAGAGTCACAGCCCGCCAGGGATAAAAGCACCAGTTCTCTCTGCTATCCCTTGGGCTTTTTACAGATGGATCTAAAGAATAATTCCAGTGTATCTGTCAGCACAACTTTGTAAAGCAAACACAACCACCCTTTCACAAACAGAAGATCAAAAGGAGACAGAGAGGCAGCTGTAGCTCAGTGGAGAGCACTTGCCTAGCACATGTGAGGCCCTGAGTTTGATTCCCAGCACCACAATTAAGCAAGAAAGAGGGAAAGAAAGACAGGGAGTTCCAATAACAAAAATGTACTCATTGGAATGGAACTGATCCTGAATTTACAGTGATTCTACCAAAGCAGATTGAAATTCTGCTTTCAAGTATTCTTCAGCTTTATTTTCTCTAAATATATCGTGTACACAAAACTGCTGAAAAAAAATGCTTATCTTTGAGGTTACCAATTGCTTCTGCTTATATAGATCAGCTAATTCTTATCAGATCAGTTACTGCTTCATTACTCTATGCTAGATATAAATTACTATTACTTTTTTAAAATTACATATTTAAAAACTTTTTTCTTTTTTTTTTTTTTAGTACTAGGGACTGAACTTGGGTGCTCTATCCCAGGAACTACACCCTCAGCCCTTTTTATTTGAGGCAGAGTCTCACTAAAATTGCTCATGTAGGGCTCAAAATCGTCCTTCTACTTCAGCTCCTCAAGCAGCTGGGATTATAGGTGTGCACCATGGCTCCCGGTCTGTAATTTTTTTTTTTAAAACTAAACTTCTCCAAATAGTTTAGCCAAATTGGAGACTTTACTGCAGTAAATGAGAGAACAGAGGACAATTTCCAGCCAACTTACAATTTCTAACCTGCCATGTGTACCTTTTTGCTAAGATACTACTTTTCAGGAGCACTGACATCCAACCAACTCACTACTGTTAAACGAGATGATATGAGGGTGACATATGGGCAACACATTCAGTAAGGAGTTTTGTGTTACAACTACGGGAACGAGTTTTAATTTCTAGGTCCCAATCTAAATATGCATCCCCTTCCAACAATTTCAGGAATGAACTACTTTTTAAAGATTTTATGGGGCAAAAAAAATCAACAAAGTGAAAGCAGCCAAAGTAATCTTCCTAATGAATGAATTTTAAAATCCAAAAATAAAACGAAAAAAGAAAGGTTCTGGGGTAGCAGAACCTTTCTGAGTACCTTGAAATCAAGCAGCACACACAAAAAGCGCCTTCTGTGGCTGAGAGGACTAGCGTGGATACTTGTTTGCTTGCTTGGCACATACTACTCTGGTGATGCCGATCCGGATTCCTGGCTGTGGAGGTTAATCATTAATGACGACATGCTTTCCTTCAGAGAGCAGCCAAGACAGGTGCAGGCGCAGGAGGCACCAGGACAGACACACAGAGATAAGAAGCAGGAATTTAGGGAGGACTCGGTCTCTGGGGAGGCTGCCCTGCCAAGTTACTGACCATGAATTCCAAGTATGCCGTCTCCTACGCTAGGCAATCAGTGAACAAGAAAGGGAGATAGGGCACGCACCCGGGGTTTTTCTTCATCAGAAAGATGCAGTTAGAAATCTTTAAGCCAAAAAAAAAAAAAAAAAAAAAATAAAAAAAAAAAAAAAAAAAAAAAAGTCATGCATTCTGTGGTACTAAATAAAAAAGCTCACAAGATACTGTGAAGGCTTTCTCTCAAGGTGCGATGCATAAGAATCAAGAGAAAAAGAAAAAACCAGACTCCACTGACAAATCCGCCAAAAGAATAGTGACCCTGAAAGCATGTTTTCATTGGTATACTGCATATGAGGAGAGCTACTCAACACACCTATATCCTGCAGTTTTAAAAATAATTAGCAATAATCAAATAGATTAAAATAAGTTATGATTAGTAATCTCACTTCCAAACTTAAATATGTAACTCGAAGCATTTCCCCCCTCAAAATTATTTTCTACTACTTTTCTAAAAATCATTATTTTTGGGATTAAACACCTAATTTTAGAATTTCTAAAAATAATTTGGAGAAGTGTAAAAAAACTCAGTCTTTATCATTTCAAGTCACCAAAACTATAAAAGTTTCCACAGAGCCTATGGATGACCGCACAGAGAACTGCAGGCACTTCTCCTCCTTCTACTGTTTCTCCTCCTCCTCTGGTGCTCAGGTCTGGGTGGAGCAGGGAGTCTGCGCTACCTGGGTCAGCTGAGGCCATGTTCTTCCTCCCGAGAACCACGCTCGCTTAGCACTTACTGTGCAGGAGAGCACGCTGGACTCCGCACGCAGAGTTGACCTGAGCCTACCCCACCTGGAAAGAAAAGCTTCCTGTGACCCTGCTGCCTCGGAACACAGAGAGGGACTAGCCCTAGTCCTAGCCCACATGGCAACACACAGCTGAGTCCCAGCGTGGCCCAGTGTTTGGCTCGGAGCTCTGGGTTTTCGCCACGACTGCAGAGGGCTGCAGGTGCCAGTGTGTGTTCCATGTAAGTGTCCTGTTTAGCCTCTGCCTTCCTTCCCAAGGGGGAAGCTGGCAGCAGTGAAGCTGACTGTCCCCAAGGCGTTCGTCTAAGACCAGACTTCAGTCCCTGGGGCATTCGTCCCACTGCTACTTCTGAGCACTGGGACAACAGGCAACATATAAAGTATGATAAAAAAACTCCAGTGAATATTTAAATTTTTAAAATTACAGTGAAAGCCAACTGCCATTCATCTCCCTCAAAATATTCCTTCTTGCTCTCAGCACACTTATCCCTTTGTTCTCACCACGTTCTGAAGCAGCCCTAGAAGTCCTCTCTACTAGTGTCTCTGATCGGGCTGTCCCGGCCATCTCAAAATCCTGAATCTGTTCAAAACGTTTACCTTTCGTGGCTATTTTAACTTTGGAAAAGAGCCAGAAGTCTCACAGGGCCAGATCTGGTGAGTAAGGTAGATGGGAACACACTGTAATGTTTTTATTTGATAGAAAACATAAACATTACAAATGGATTCAGGACATCAAGGCACCCATAAAGTGTAAAAACAACGGTCTAAGTATGTTTGAGAGGGAGAATTCTGAGATAGATTAATGGTAATGTGTCTTTTACTTTAATCTTATTTAAACATTCACTATATATTTTGATTACATCTTGTACCCCCCTTGTCTAAAAGCCCTTTCAGGTATGAAATTCCTTTCTGGGTATAACTTTATAAGGTAATTTATTACGTTGTACTTTTACATAACACGTTGTGACTATATGCAAAAGCATTTGTTACACAATCCAAAAAACAAAAAAAACAAAAAAAAAAAAAACCAAAACTGAAACTGGTGGGCAATTATACAGTTCAGACAAGAATAAACCCTGACTCATCAAAATGCTAAAGTACCACAAAAAAATGTCTTTAAAGCAAATAACACTACTCCTGAAAGCATACCTTAGATTTTGGGGTGCTTCAGTGCCCTTTCATGGCATCTGCTAACATTCAAGGGACCATACTAGCTCAACTCACTTCCCACCAGTCTGTCTTCCAGTTGCACTTTGACTTTGCAGGTGGTGATGTAACTGCAGTCTCTGGATATTTACCTTCTGGGCTTATATTTCCCCTTCTTAACAGACAAGCACAGCTTAACGCAATATATTAAAGAGTTCAAAATTTTCACTTTGCTGGTTTTTCCAACAATGCGATGGTCTTGGAAATAAGAGGTGTGAATTAGGGAGAAACACCATCAAAGGTGCTGTAAGAAGCATAACCAAAAACAACACACACAAGCCGATGTGGTGGCACACGCCTGTAATCCCAGCACTCAGGAGGCTAAGGCAGGAGGATTTCTGCGAGTTTGAGACCAGCCTGTGCTACACAGTGAGTTCCAAAGCAGTCTGAACTACATAGTGAGACCCTGTCTCAAAAAAACAAACAAACAACAAACAAAAAAAAAAAACACACACACACCTTGTGCAATTCTGATTCACACAATGAAAAGACATCTTTGTCACATCTGATGTGGAACAATTATGATATTAAAGAATCACTGCTATTTTTTTACATAATAATGTTAAGGAAATTATTTTTAAAAACTCCTTTCAGTTAAAGATGCATACTGAAGAACTTATGGTAAAATAACATGAATCTAGGATTGGTTTTAAATATGCCAGTATTAAAAATGATAACAGAAAAAGAAATGCACAAAATGATCTAAAAAATGACAATCACTGAAACTGGTTAATGTATATAAACAGTGTATTATGCTATTCTTTTTCTTAATTTTACATTGAAAAAATTTTCATGTAAGTTTCCTCTCAATTATACACATCGAGTACTTTTGTTTTTATTTTTAAACTGAAAGAAAGCATGTCAATAAATATTAATGTCTGAAAATACTGTAAAATAATGCTAACTAGCAGCACTTTATTTTGTATATAATTTTTAAAGATGTGAATATAATACATAACTAAATATTTCTCGCACCTTTTCCTTTGTTCTCAGCTCATCGAACATTTGTTGGATTTCCAGCTTCCAGTCATCTTGCATGGAATGGAAAGACTCCTGGGGCATTTCAGTCATCACAGACACCTCAATAGCAGACAGCTGTTGCAGGATGGAGGCAAACGACGGGCGAATGTGAGGGTCTTGCTCCCAGCACTCTGCAGAAACGAGAAACAACAGAAGTTCCCCTGTCAGCATGGTGCCAGCAACCTCTAAGACAGCAAGGATTCTAAGGTATGTTTTACTATGAACTGTTTATCAGTTTAAAATCTGTTTCTGTAAACCAGAAGTTCACATATCCAGTGTCTGCTCTTAAGGAACTATGTGTGGTGATTTCACATCCTTTATGTCGCTCAGTATCTAGGACACCAGAGTGCGTAGTGATCATTCGTAGGCAAGGCTGCTGCTGTCTGTGTTAGACAGCACTGGAAACACACACATCCGCTTTCCAGGCCTTACCATGAACTGTGTGCCCCAGAGGCCTAAGTTGCTGCAGCAACTTACTGACAGGAATTACATACATATAAAATTCAACCTAAGAAAACTGAAGTCTCTCAAATGCTATAATAATCACAATAGGAGTTGAGGAAATAGCCTGATAATGAAGTCAATTTGCTGGTCACAAAGAGTTAGCAATTTTTTAAAGATAAGGATCAAATTTACAAGTTTATAGCAAAGCCATGTGGGTTATGCCTGTAAAACATTTCTGCTCATCAAGTAGAATGTAGCATGGCCAATGATGCACCCAGCTCAGGTCTGTGCCAGCTTCCTCTCTCCTACTCAGAGTAGTGCAAAGTGTTACTGTCACTCACTTGGGTTCTGCAGAAATCAATCACTGGTAAAAACGGATGGCTTTCAGTTGCTCAGCTTATCAAATCTGTATTAAAAGATGAGGTTTCTAATTTTTAAAACAGTATGATTACTTAGAAATAACTGCAAATGGCAGTATAGGCATTGCTTTTTGGTTAAAAACATGCAGATGTTCTCGAGTGACTTTCCTTGCCCAGCACACATACCTTTCATAAGCTTGGTGAATGGCTCAGGGCAGGTAGATGGGATGGGCAGAGTGAGCTTGTTGACCGCCACCCCGTAGGCCACAGCCAGACCGTCAATGCCTCGGTAGGGGACCTCTCCTGTGAGCAGCTCCCACAGCAGCACGCCATAGCTGGAAAGCAAAGTTCCACGTGTGAAACGGGCTGGGAGTGTCCCGTTCTCATGACAGAGCTGGGCTGCACACTGCAGTGCAGCACTCCAAGGGTGACTGAAGTACTAACCATAATGAAATACCGCTGCACACCTGAATTTAAGTCGAATAACCAGGGTGGGGGAGGAAGTGGTGAATCAGAGCCCTCATGCACTACTGGTGTGAATGAAACATGGTGCAGCCCCTGTGGAAAACGGTCCAGCATGTCCTCAAATGGTTAAACCATATGGCCCAGTGACTACATCATCCTCAGGAATATTGCCAAGAGAACTGAAAATATATTGCCTCAAAAACCTTGCTCATGAATGTCTGTGGCAGCACCATTCATAGGAAGCAAAAACTGGAAACAACCCAAACATTCATTAACAGTCTTAAGAAGAGGTAAACAAAATGTGGTCTGGCTACGGTGGAATATGAGCCAAAAATGGAATGAAGCCTTGATACAAGTTGTAGCCCAGATGACCTCTAAACATTATGCTCAATGGAGAAACCAATACAAAGAAACAGGTACAAGACTGCATTCACATGAAGTGTGCAGAATAAAAAAACAAAGCCAAAGACACACAGAGTGTGGACTGGTAGCTCCTTGGGACAAAGAAGGGAATGTGTACAGGGCTTCTTTGTGGGACAATGAAAATGTTCTAAACTCCATTGAGCTGTTGGATACACACACAACCTTTTTTTTTCTCATTGAGTTTATTGGTACATTTTAGGTATACAGTACAGTTACATTCATCATTGGGATCTTGGACCTTTACATGACAGGTCTTGGTTCTCATTGTGTCCCCATACCCCTGCCCTCCCTTCCCTATTTACAAAAACTTTATTTCCATTTTTTCGTTCTCTCAGATTTATTTCTTTTAACACAACCTTATTAATACACAAACTGCCATAGAAACTGTACAGCTTAAATGGGTGAATTGTACAGCATGTGAATGATATCTCCATAGAGCTGTTAAACAAACAACAGAAAAAACATGGAATTTTAATACATGCCACACAGGAGCATTAAACAAAGGCAATTAAGGCCTGGGTGCACTTGAATTATGAAATGTGTGATTTCTCTTTGCTGTTCCATCACGGTTGGTGTCCCCATCTTCCTGATGAGGTAAAACAGTATGGCAGGCAGCCTGGCATTCACCTGGCTTCAGCCCTACACTGGCCACAGGAGGATTCCATCTTTAGGTGGAAAAATCTATAAAAGGAAGGCATCACTCTAAAGATTTTCCTCCAATTCCCTCCGTGCTAATGTTGTTTGTGAATTGCAAGGAATCAAAAGTTTGCTGAAAGTGAAAATTCATTTTTATGTACAGTATTGGTAGGCCTTATAAATCTTGGCATTGGAGTTCATTCAACTAAAAACTAGTTTTGGTCAAGCTCAGATTTAACAAGAAGGTTCTTCCACTAAATGGAATTACGTGACAACAGAAACCTCAAGTTACCTATCCTCATGCCATGGGCCATCTTTTTTGTTTTTCTGCAGTGCTGGAGATTGAATTCAGGGCCTTCATGCTGAGCTATATCCTCAGCCCCTTTTATTTTGTATTTTGGAGACAGGGTCTCAACTAAATCAGTAAGTGGCCCAGGCTGGGCTCAAATTTGAGATCTTCTTGCCTCAGCCTCCCAGAGCACTGTGATTACAAGTATGTGCCAGCACACTCGTCTATTGACCATCCTGCTTCAAGTCACGACAGCATCTTCCAGAGGTCCTCGCCACTTGGGTTCAGAATTGCAGAGTCCATAGAACTAGAAGAAGCCAAGCTTGCGACTGCGGACCGCGCTATACAAAGACGCGTACTCACCTCCAGATGTCGCTCCCCTTGGAGAACAGAGACGACCTGATGACCTCAGGGGCCATCCACGCGTAAGTGCCCGCCGCGCTCATCTTGGTGGTCCTGTGCCACTCCCTCGCCAGCCCGAAGTCTGTAATCTTCAGTGTCTTATTGCAGACGTCATCATGTTCTATCTTCTCCAGCAACAAAACTAAAGGGAAATCAAAGATGGGGCATTTTCACATTCTGATTTCCCAGTCACGATTTTTTGATGGCATCTAAAATATAATCTCACTAGCTGCTGGGGCAAATGAAAATGACCTTGTATCTCCCCTCTGTTTTTCTTTTTCCAGTACTAGGAATCAAGCCCAGGCATACTCTACAACTAAGCTGAATACTCTGGCCTTTATTTATTTATTTTTAAATTCTGAGACAGGTCATCCTTACTTGTTCTCATGAGACTCAAGTTGGTGCATTTTATCTAACCTACACCATTTGTAGAGTAATGATTGGGGGAAATGTAATGACCAGGAAATAAACTATGATGATTGCTGAATTTTACATTTGTGTAGTAAATCTTTTTTTTTTTTTTTTTTTGTACTGGGGATCGAACTCGGGTCCTTGAGCTTGTGAGCCAGGCAGGGGAACCACTGAGCTAAATCCCTGGATCTAACCTACACCGTTTGTATCATGGTCTTTAGGGGGTCATTTGTGCCTGAGTTACAAGGTTTTAAGGAAATCTGCAGGTGTGCTACAGCTTAACACTCATACATATGAGGGGCAAGAAACTTTAACTGAAATATCACAGAAGTCTGTGAAAGTTTACCTGCTAGGAAAAAAAAGCATTGCTTTCTTCCAGGAAATTCTTTCCTGATCTATCTTTCCCACAGAATATATTAGAGAATATCAACAATATTTATTACCATAACTATCATCATTCTCTTCTATGAATATGTAAAATGTTCACAGATATTTTACTCATAAAGATCATTTGTAAGATAACTGCGTTACTCAAGTTTAAAGAACAAAAGGTAAAAACATCAGTGAAAACCCCCCAGTTGCTGGTTTCCTTACCCTCAATCCTGGCCATGCCCCCAACTTCTAGGATGGGTGCTCAGGCCAGGTCTATCCCCAGCTCTCCTGGCCACAGCTATGATCAAGTGTGCTTTCAGGCCCGCACCTGCACCCCACCCTGCAGCCTTCCTTGCCCTTTGGTTGCTCTTTCCCTCCGCTGATTTGCTCTGCCTGAAACCGTGGGGGAGTGTTTCTCAGGTTCTCAGGTTCCTCTGACACAGCTGGAGGCTGCCCCTCCTTCCCTCGTGTGTCCATCTCAGGGACCACATCTGTCCTTTTCCTAAGTGTCCTGCCATCCTGTATCTTTGTAACCTTTGGGAAAGAACTACCAGCACTCGCAACACCATGGATACACCTAGAAACCACTGTTAAGAGACAGAGCCAGTCGTAAAGGGTCCATATCAGATCCCTGAGGCAGTCTGGAAAAGGAAGCACAGGGATAGATATGGATCAGTAGTCGCCGGAGGCCAAGGGAAAGGTCTGACTGTAAAGGGACATAGGGGACTTGCCAAGTGTAAGAAATTCCATACCTCAAAGATGGTAATGGCTACACAACCGTAAACATCTGTCAAAATTCATCAAACTGCACACTCTCCGAGGGCAAGTTCCCTGTGTGTGAAACAGACCCCGATCTTCTTGCACTTCAGAAATCCAAAACTCCTTCAAGGCTCTCTGTGACTCAGGAGCAAGGTCCACGCTCCTCACTGGCCACCTGCACAAGACCTGCATTTCCCACCAGACCTCACTCCTCCCAGGCCAGGCTGGCTCTGCCTACGGCTAGAGCACTACCTTAGTGAGGCCCTCACCTCCCCCCAAGCAAAAAAGGAAAAGAAAGTTCCCTCCACACCTGTACAAAATTCCTTCTTCCATTACAGCACTCAGGAAGCACAGTGTACTTCTTGATTTGGGGTTTTGCCTCTGCCTCCTCCCCTAGACAGCCGAGATACAGAGGGGAAAGAAACAGATCAGAAGAGGAGCACCAGTCCTCCTCCGCGTCTTGGACCTGCTCTGTGAGGTCTGGTTCAGACTAAGCGCTTACTGTCTACAGAAAGCAGTTTATCCTTACGTCTGCGCCTCTTCTCTTGGTGATTCCTGCCCAATGGGAATAAAAGCAAATTAAGAGGAGAGTCACTAACAGCTACCGAATGCTCACTGCATGCCTTGTTCTTTACACGCCTTTCATTTAATCCTCACAAAAGTCACAGAACACAAGTCTTCATCATCACAGAACTGTTGCCGAAGAAAAAAGAAAGTGATATATGGAGCCATTTACATGGTAACAGAAATTTCAAAATAAGGTCTGTTGGTGGTGGTGGAGGGGAATGTCATTCAGGTTTTTCCTTGACAAATAAAACAAAAATAAATATATTTCATCTTTTATTAAGATATTGTCATAATTGTGCTAACAAAACATGCTAATTCGTAGAAGAAAAAGCAAAATAAATATAGCTGTGCAGCAACTGTGCCAAGAATCACAAAAACAAAATAAGAATATGTGGCTTTTAAGAATAAATTATCCACACATAACAGGAGAATGATAAAAGATGATATGCTTCACATCTTATTTTTGGAAGATGATCTTAAAAAGGGCCATTTTTTCAAAGATTAGTTTTTATTGTGCACATTCTGCTTGTCAGATGAGGTTACAGACATTTAATTATAGAACCTACAATAAAATGTGTGTTAGACACTTTAATAGAAAACAGAGGTGCACAGACATTAGTAGTCTGACCACGGTCACATGGCTAAGGAATAGAGGTCAAGCAGGCTGACTCCAGAGGCTACAGACCTCAAAACTATAACGCCTCACTGACAGCTTTTTTGGTCTTGGGGGGCGGTACTGGGGATTGAACTCAGGATCTTGAGCTTACAAAGCAGGCTGCGGAGCCACTGAGCTAAATCCCCAGCCCGCTGACAGCCTTTTATCCACTTTTTCCAAGAGCTTCCTTTCTCCTTTGGGGATTTTTGTCTTCTAAGATACACAATCACCTCCAACTTGATTCCTGCTGTTGGTGAATCACCAGGGTTCCAGGTGGAGGCAGAGGGGCACAGCATCAGACTACATGGAGTTCAAGGTCTGACTCTGTGAGTGTTTCCTTGCCTGGCCTGGGACACAGGGCAAAAGTTACAGCTTAGATTACAAGGAACAGATATGAGCACAAGGGGCGTGCTCAGACTGCCTGAGAGGCAGCATGCTGCCAAGAGTTCACACACAGTAGCACACACTTTCACCAGTGGAGATGAAGCTGTTTTTGGCAAATCTTCAAAATCACTGTCCGGGACATCAGAAAATCCAGCAATCCTTTAAGACTTTTATTTGCATTGTATTTCAAATACTATGTTGGTCATAACAGTTTAAGCAATTAGAAGTAAATAACACTAGGTTTCAACATGAAGGGGTATTTCAGTAGGGACTACCTTGATAAGTAATCAATACTGATTATGGATATTGTGGTGTAGGAAGGATTTTTGTCCCATTTGAGAGTCAGAGGGCCCTGACTCTCCCTAACATTCTCATACCTATATCAGGGATGAAGAATCAGAGTTAGAGGGGTTAAGAACATTAGGGGGATAATCTGGCAAAAGATTTAGGGGGAAAGCAACAGGGTGAATCTACCATTTTTCTCTTAATCTCAGTGCTGTATTAGGTAGGGAAGGATGCAGGAAAGGAGGGAGAAATAAGGTAGGAGGGAAATAAAGACTCACTTTGGGAATGGCCATTTATTCTTTCTGTCTCTTTATGCATGCCTATTTTCAAAGAGCATCCTGGGCATCCTAAAAATTCAGGAACTATTTTATCTTCATCTCATTCATTACTCATTTTTTTTTTACCAAAGACTTCTCTAATTATGAACAAGCTATTTACTCCCAGAAAGTGTATAGCTTTCTCAAAATCAACTGACACAGTATCTCGTATACCACACTGTCTGACGGAATGTCTTTGGCTGATGTTTATTACCACCAGTTCTGATAAGAATACCACCTATTATTTACTGACTGTCTCCTCTCCGATCCTGTCTCCACACATTTAACAGTTCATCCTGCTAGTCTGTGAGCAGAGGATTATAATCTTCGCTTCACAGCCTACACGTTACCCAGGGTCTGAGGGCTTCAAAGACCCTTCATGACACAGTCCTTAGCCCTCTTCTGTGCCACTATGAAGCCACTGGCTGTCATGAGGGGCAAGGCAACAAATCTCCTTCTGTGTGCTCCTGAAAAAAATAATATTTGAATGCTCCTTCCATGTCAGCCAAAACATATTTACTTCTCACACCTTACTCCTCATGAATATCACGAAAAATAAACACTACTAAAAAAGAGCTTTAGATCCCCAGTCTTTTAAACTCTATACAGCTAAACCACAGAAAGGATCCTGAAACAAAGGTGAATTGCTTAGCTTACATTTTCCCCTTTACAGTATCACTAATCTTACTCTTGAACAGTATTTGTTCCTGCCAGTAAAAAAAAAATCTCTAGTGATAACATGACTTGCAGATCAATAAAACTGTTTCAAAGCACTTTTATATGCACTATCTCCTAATTCTCATATAAGCCCAGATAGGAAAGAGGCTAACATTGCTATCAAAGTAATTCCAATCCCTTGTCTCTGGTCCTCAGACACACACCACTAGGGCTGGTAGCCCTCAGGATGCAAAGGCTGGAAAAGTAGTTCAAAAATAAGTTGATATACAACTAAGGGTGAGGACTGAAAACCCTGCATGGTGCTCTTGCCTCCTAAGTACTCACTGGCTGCGTGGGCTATGAGCCATCAGTCTCTAGCCCCCATCCTCTGTGGCCCAAAATTTCCATACCACCTGAGACTCCACACTTAGAGCTAACAGAAAACAAGTTAAAATAACATTTGAATGTCAAGCATTTAGGGCTCCAAGAAAGGCCCATTGTTTAGGATTCTGTTTCAGAGGTGCTGGGCAGAATTCCTGAAATTCCTTATCTTTTGGGCAATGTGACCGAAACCACAAATACTCCTCTCACAACGGGTTATACAGTCGGTGCCAGGCCAGGTTCCAGCTAAGAACACAGGTGTGGCCACCCTCCCCTTCCATTCACAGAGGGAGGAAGGGCCAGGAACACCAGCAAGCCATCGGATCAGTTGCAAAAGCTGGGAGGGCGACTCAA